AGGGTACCTTCATTGCACTCGAAATATTTTTCAGCAAATAAGTGCAAGTCCAGACATTTATATACAGGGCGATAGAGAATTTCGAGCGCTATCAGAATACGGGATCATTTTTGTAAAAGTATATCTTTATAAGGAAAATATCTTGAAAAAACTGTATGCAACTATTTTTTTCCAGGCGTATATATCACAATAACTCATTGAATGACAAGATATTATAATTTTCTCTATTAACATTTTCAGTGAAACATATACTAATAAAATTCGGTAATTATTATTAATGTTGCACGCTACTATAAGTTCTGTTTTTGTTGTTGTTCACATTGGATTTTTTATACGTGATTTAAACAAGTAGTAAACATGTCTACTGCAAGTTCGAAATTACTGTTTAAGTATTCATTCGTCGCATTCATTTTGCCTTGAAATATTTGCTACAACAAGTCGCATAAAATTGCTGACTTTCTTTTTGCCTGAAAAATCTTTATTCACTTTTGCTTTCATTCGTTTCCATTGTTTGAATAACATCCTACATTTTTTCTATTTGTTGTTTAGATCGCTCCCTTTGCAAGTGTGATCATAAATGGTATTTATTGGGAACAATCTCAACCAAAATTATTGAGAATAGCTGATGCTAAAGTGTTGTTGGCACCATCAGCGAACAGTCAAGCATGGTTACCAACAGAAAATGGTTGTCCCGTACTGCCACATCGTCTATTATCTATTTGTGACATAACGGCAGATAAAGGTGGTTCAATCGAGTTTGTGACACAGACAACAACAATTGACCATCCGTTTTTATTATACGATCCACACACACAAACAGCGAAAGAAAGGTAGGCAAATAAGCCAAATATTGTCGAAATTGTATGAACTTGATCATCTCTCTTTTTCAGTTTTAATGGACCAGGTGTACTGATTTGCTCAATTGACAATATGCCTACTCAATTACCGTTAGAAGCAACAGAGTATTTTGGATCATTGTTATTTCCATTAATACCGACTATGTTACAAATAGATGCGACGAAAGAATTTCAACTTCAAAATATACCACGGGTTATTAAAGATGTAAGAGGGCAATAGAGACAAAAGAACGAAAATTTTTTCACTTTTTTTTGAAATATTTTCATTCTTCTCTTTAGGCAGTGTTAACTGCAAACGGTCATCTAACGCCAAAATATTCTTACATAACTCAGTTAAGAGAACAAAGACGGTATGTATTACATTTAACTGAGCTTTCCTTTTTTCTGTACCGTAGACAAAATTTATTTTTGAATAACCAAATTTCAGCTTCTTAGATGTCTAGAGGATAACATTCACTAATAATGATAGCTTCTCACCCAAACTCGACTTAAATTTTGAGAAAAGTGTCTTATAATTCGGTAGTAACTCATTTTCTCAGTAAAAAGCTAAAGTGTAATGTGATGTTTAATGAGTTGTTGCATTTCTTAAACACAACTAAGTGTTTATGTCATATTTATTATTATCTTTATTTTAGTATTAAACAACAATTGGCATCAACGAAAAAACGTGTATTAATATTGGGTTCCGGTTTTGTGTCGGCACCTGCCGTCGAATGTTTGACAAGAGATAATAATATCTCAGTGACATTAGGTTTAATTTCTCTCGCTATGTTTTTAAACTAACTAAATGTGTCATTTCTTTTAGTTAGTTCAGTCAAACTTGAAGCCGATCGTTTAGCTGACCTATATCCAAACACAACTCCCGTTATGCTAGATATCATGCGAAGTTCAGAAGAAGTAGAAAAACTGATTAAAGATCATGATATTGTTGTTAGGTATAACTTGTTATTGACAAGACAAAGCTTCGGCTCGTCAAAGAGTATCGATTCCTTTTTTGATCTAATGGCCAAGGAAAAAAAAGTGCTTCCTTTCGTGATTCTTAGACGTTTTTTTCCGGCAGGTTTTCTTTGCCTTACATACATTGCAAAAGACTTGTAATCAATAATTATCCATTCAAAATAAAATTTGAGCTTGGTTTCGTCTAAATGCACTTAGACTGTATTAGTGATTTGAATAAGTGCACACATACTGCATTCATTCAAGTCCTTAATACAGTCTAAGTGCATTTAGACGAAACCAAGCTCAAATTTTATTTTGAATGGAT